TTTTTTTTTTTTTTTTTAAATTTCTTCCCTCTGTGGTCGTAAAACATGGATAAACCCACTTCTAAGTTATATATTTCAAAAATTCTAGTTGAGCCTCTGTACAGAGGTCTGAGCTATATACAGGCAAAATATTATTATAATAGAAACATCTTTCACAAAAGGAGACTATTTTGAAAATGGGTCCTTCTACGTTCCTTTTTTGTCAAAATATTGTACTTAAATCATTTTTTATTGTAATACTATTCTTAAAACAATTTTATATACATGTTCTAATCTAAGTGACACTAAATATCATAAATATTATCCTTTTATACGCTTTTGCAAAATCATGGTTCCGAACGTAGTCGGATACCTTAAGATGGTTTTACGAAATTATGATTAAAAAAATTATAAAAATAAAAATGCCTCGATATGTCGCGAATAAAAGCAATAAAGCTTCGGAAACGTAACAAGGATCTCAAAAAGAAAGAAACTTCCTCCCCCGAAAATGAAAAGCTTAGCAATGACCCTCTGACCTCTACATTGAATAATGAAAACCGTTAAGCGAACAACGCCAGATCCTCTCAAGGTCCTTAGCTAATTGGCACCACAAACGACCATGAACCTCGCAAGGGACGGAAGACACCGCAAAGCATCTGTTTATTAGGACCCAAAAGACATCAGACCAAAAGATATGTAGTTCTCTAGAACCCACCTACCATTTCCACTTTTGCTTTGAATATCCAATTAAAACGTCTTCGTTAAATTCGCCAATTTTCCCAAACGTAGATGAGTCGGACCATGCAATCTCACCTGTTTCGGGTCTATCCTCTAGATCCAGTAGCTTTTGCTGCTTCTTTCTCACCTGCTTGCAATTCTTTCCTTAATTTCCGCTACACGCGAGATAAAGAATACAGTAGACGCGGATGAACACAAAAAAAGGTATACACCTGCGTTACAGTAATTGAGCTTAATTGGGATGTTTAGTGTGTCAACAGTTTCGTAACTTTTGACGCTTTGGCTAGTCAAATTTTGGGTGAATTTCTAAGGAGTTTTGATTTTTTTTAACGAAAAAACAGTACTTCCGTTGCATAGTTGATAATTGCTGTTTTCTGGGACATGAATGAATGTTCTCTCGTCTGAGTTTGTTTAATCTTTTTTTTTTTTTATTAAAACTAAGAGTGTGTGATCACTGGGATACTTTTGGTTTTTCCACAAGTCTAAATAAATATGTAATGTGTTTGAAGTTTGAGATTTATATCACAGTTTAGATAAAAATTATCTCTTACAAATGTAAATATTGCACACATATTTTATTACGCAACAGGAAATGAGATACAATTCTAGGTCACTGGGTAATAATTTTTTATGTTCCATCATAGCAATACTACCATAGTTAGTCTGATATTAATAATGAAAAAATTCAAGTGTGAAGTTATTCTTTGTTTATTTGAATACTTTAATATTCGCGTCATATTATATATATACATTTGTTAAGTGCTTGTTTTATTATATACTCAAATATGTGTTGCAATCTCGTGCTTTTCTATTTACAGATATTTAATTTTTAAATATAATTAAAGAATTTAAATTGATGCACTATATAATGGAAAGGTCTGTTGTCACAATATGATTTTCTGTCTCTCAATAAAATCTCTCATACTTGATTACCTAACATACATGGGCAGAATTTAGTAAGACAATGCAGTTCTTAAAATTGGCTTGATTTAGCGAAAGAATGCAAAGCAAATAAAATTTTGAGCCACATCCTAAGTAAATTATTGGCATTAGGTTATAAGAAAAAGTAATGATGTCAATAATTAACGCGATCGTTTTATGATTAGCCTTAGATTCGATAAACAAATATACAAAGTAAATTTTTGCTAATATTTATTTAATATATTTTGTGGATAGTAATTTTAAATAATAAAAACAAAAACGAACATTGTTTTATGAGTGTATATTTTTATAGTAATGTAATCGAATATGTTGTGAATTTAGTAATATTCATAATTTTTTCTTGAAACTTTATTTTACTAGGGGTACCCCACCCCTGTCTCCACCTAACGGCGGATCAACCCTCATTGTACTAATTATACAATTGTTCATACCCATTGTTCAAATTCTAAAACTGTAATTTACATATATCATGTCGTTCTATCTTTTTCAAAATATTGTAAGCAGGAACAAAATAAATTTTAATTTGTGACCATATTATTGAACAGAACTTACTGCCTTTTTATTATTGTGAGTGAATAAATAAATAAATTTATTAAATCATCACGAAAAACTTTTTTTGATATAGAAAGATAATTTTTTTCTAAAATAATTATTTTGTACATTAATTGAATCAATATATTTTTTAAAAAAATAGAAACGAAACAAAAAAAAAAATTTTTTTTTCATAGTTTGTTTTTAATATTTTTTGCGAAATTTATTCACAACTGTAAAATTCTCTTCAGTTCTTAAAACAGCATGGATATTGCACATTACGATATCTTAATACATGAAAAAACTTGTATACAGTTTTACAAATGAATAGTGATTATTTCGAAGCAATTATCTTTCGACCTTACTAAAAGAGATCTGTTGATTATCCCTAGAATATCTCTATACAGTGAAAACATATTTTTATTTAATTTCTTTAATATTAGTTCACACTCTCCCTATATATATATATATATATATCTTGTTCAAATTTTCAATCGTTAATAAAATACTTTTTATTCATCCACTCAAGTTCAAATACATTTTTTTTTATATATTAATTCATTATTTCTGTTTAATTAATGAATAAATAGTAACAAACAAAAGTAATAGTCCAACACCATAAATAAAAAGGAAAATCGCTCGTTGTGTCCCTGTAGCGTAATGGATAGCGCGCGCGTTGGACATTTATTTAAAGGTTGTGGGTTCGAATCCCACCTGAGATGGCCTAATTTCTGAGAATTTGATTTCTTTTTGCTATACTATTTTGTTGGAATAATTAAATTTAATTAATGAATAAATAGTAACAAAAAAAAAATAATAATAGTCCAACACCCTATATTGAAAGGAAAATGGAAAATTGCAAGGAAAATCGTTTTCTATTTTGCCACTTAATAGTGTGATTCTGTTATATGTATATGCATATATTTATATTAATTGTAATTATTTAATAAAAAGTAACTAAAATAAAAATTTTCTTTGTTTGGATCTAAGTAGGAATTGACTTAAAATTTTTTTATATTACTTGTTTATCAGATAGCGGCACTCTTCTTAAAAAAGATTTTTTTTTTATTACTTGTTTTATGTGTTATGACTTATTAATAACCTGAATTTACCATATAAGCAATACTGATTTTTTCTAACTCCTAAAAGAAGCAAATTAATTTCAACAAGTTTCTCACCTCATTCCCCCCCCCCCCTTTCCATTTGGGTGATGTTCGGCCCACTAAAAAGATTGGAATCGCGTCAATACTTTCCTTAAACATCACGAAGTTAACTATAACGGGGAAAACTAATTATAAACGAAGTCGGAAAGGTGGGACATTATTCATCTCGCATCACCTTTCCCCCAAACAGATGAAAAACGCAGCTGACAAGAATGGGTTGAGAAGGGGGCCCCGTTTTAGGGGTCTACCGCAAGGAACCCATCTTCGGGGGTAAAAACAAACATGCTCTTCGAATTCGTGCGACGTCCCGGTGCTCGCTTTCTCCCGTTGCGCAAGTTTCGCTTTTTTTCAAAAGAGAATTCAATCATATGTTCTGGGTCGCGTGCTCGACTCGTGGTCCCTTTTGTTCCGCCAGTGACCAAAAAGGGCCCCCCAGGCGGCAGATGTTACCTGGGGATGGAAAAATTGTTCCACACCTGGACTGTATATAAATGTCTCGGTTGAAGGACCGCGAGTCAATGAGGTGGGAGACGTATCGTCATTTGTATTGTCCCCGGGAAAACTTTGGGGTCATTAAATAGGTCTCATCAAGAGAGCCACCCTCTGTCGACCAGGTGATAGAGGAAGGTGAAGGCCTGGGACACAGCCAAGTGGAGATATCAGTCGAATTTTAATTTCGGCAGGGTCTTTTACACTCGCTTGCATATAGACAAATGCATGTCATTGTGCGCTACAAATTGTCTCTGGGTTGTTGCTGTATTACTGAATTAAGTACCGTATAATCCAGCGTAATAACAACGATAGCTCTTTAACAAGTAATATAAAAAAAAGTTTCAAGTCAATTCCTGCTTAGGTCAACAAAGAAAATTTTTATTTTATAGTTACTTTTATTAAATTAAAAAGTTTCATTATTCCTTAATATTAATTGCT